TATAAAAAATAAAACATTCTTGTTTTATTACTGAATTTTAATAAATAATTTTAAGGGTATAAAAGTCTATGTAATTAGCGAGGGTACCGTTTTAATACGGACGGATGAGGTTCTAATATCTTCCTCGGTACGTAATTTACTCCCGAGTTCAGAATCTTTGCTTAAAGAACATTTTATCATAATTGGGCTTATTAGTGAGTTTTTTTACATTTTATCCGTAAAAAACGTAGTGGCGACTCCAAATCAATTAGAAGAGGTAAAAATTGAGTTCGTCTCTCCCTAAGTCGCAAGGCCGATCTTCCAACCGAAAATCAGGTCGCGACAATAACCACCACCACACATTAGGCACTTTCATTCAAACTAGTAACTTCCAATAACATAGACCACTAATTGATTGAATTATCTAACAACATACTTATGGGATGGCTCTGAAACCCTCCCTTACCCTTCATTATTCTCTCAAATCCAACTCGTAAATGAATCCTAAAAGGCTCTATTTCTCACCTTTATCTTGTTAGGTGACACAAATAGATATCAAAAGACCAAAATTTATTGTCATGTTAAATCTTGAACCATAATTATGTAAAGTGAGTTTTTTTTAGTAAAGTAAGCAAGTAAGAATATAATACTCCTTGATTTAATAAATTGCTTAGAAATCCTACTCTTACTTGCATACTTTACGGATAAACTTACTAAAGGTCATCTGAAAAATGAGATAAACTCACTCGAGATATACTGAGAAAAAAACTTGTGCATTGACAATGTAAAAAATATTTTTCTCCACATTTATATGTTAAACATAAAAAATTGATGATACGCTACAATATAAAAAAATATTACATAGTACATACACAACCATTAAATTAAACTCATAAGTTCCCCCTTGGATCTAGTAACTTAACATATTCCAATGCAGGAAGCTGTGAATGTATCCCTAGGGAACTTAATGACTTATCCATTTGTGAGAGATCAGGTTGTGAAGTAAAAGCTTGCATTGAAAGGGTGCACATTATGATTTTGTCAGTGGCACCTTTGAGTTGTGGGATCTAGACTTCAGATTATCTCCCTCTGTATCAATTTAGAAAGCTGCAGCATCAAATGGAAGTGCTCTAAACAAAACAGAAGCAAATATTTGGAAATAATGTAGTACATGAATAAGGCCTACTTAATGAATAAGTTTTGTTTGTGTCATTGTAATTCCTTATGGTACATGAATAAGGCATGTCTTGTCCAAAATAAAATTGTGGTTGTGTTGTTTACATTTAGCATTTGGAAGAAAATAAACTTTAAATGTTGTGATTATATTCGAGAGTATATATGTTATCCCAAAAAGTGTGTCACTTTATATGCTACTTGTGATTGATTGATGTATTTAAGTTAAAATTTTAATTATAAACTAGCATGGTGAGTCGATATATGCATAATCCTGGCAAGGATCATTGGAGTGTTGTAAAGTGGATTTTTCGGTATCTAAAAGGTACTTCTGACATTGGTTTGGTATTTGACAGAAGCAAGGCTACAGCCGATGATGTTGTAGGTTATGTTGATTCAGATTATGCTGGTGACAATGATAGAAGGAGATCTATTTCTGGTTACATCTTTACTCTCTGTAATAGTGCTATCAGCTGGAAAGCTATTCTTCAGTCCATTGTTGCATTATCTATGACTAAAGCAGAGTATATTTCAGCAACAGAGGGTGTGAATGAGGCTATTTGGCTCCGAGGTTTGGTAAATGAACTTGGTTTAGCACAAAGAGTTCTTACAGTATTTTGTAACAGTCAAAGTGCTATTCATTTGACCAAGAATAATCGTTATCATGACAAGACCAAACACATTGATATGAAACGTCACTTCATCCGAGATATTGATACTGTTTGTGAAATAATGGTGGAGAAAATTCACACATCAGAAAATCCAGCAGATATGCTTACCAAGCCACTTCCCAACACCAAGTTCCAACACTGTCTGGACTTGGTTGGTCTCTACAACACTTGAGTGCCCTTCGGGGTTTTATATGGCGATGAGAAACTTATCGAATTCGAACCAAGGTGGAGATTGTTGATATATGTGGCTCCAATTCTCCCACATCTCTTGATTTTGTTTTGTGGCCAACATACTTTTCCTTCTCCCTTAAGTTTTGGGAAAGCAATAATGATGCCTACAAATTGTCTGCGAAACTACAACTTGCTTCTGAGTTCTTTGCATCCTTCAACATTAAGAATTCATTAAATATTCATTCCAGTGCATGAGTGTTGCCTATAAAAGGCAATAACTACTCTATGGCAAATGCATCACAAGATTAATAGTATCATACATCACCCAGAGAAGGTTTTAGATTTCTTCACATACACACGAGTGTATTTTGGTGAGAATTATTGTTTCATTTGAGAGAGTATTTGTGAGAGAAAATATTGTTCTTTGTTGTACTCTCCCTTTTACATAGTAGAATTTTGCTCTTGAGCGCCCGTGGTTTTTTAACTCTCACACTGAGGGGTTTTTCCACGTTAAATCTTGTATGTTATTTTCTTGCTCGTTTATTTGCTTCTATTTTGTTCTCAATTGATCCAATCTTGTGCTTCCGTATTGCGCTCTATTCCTAACAGAAAAGGCTTCAACAAGTTAGGAAAATGTGAAGCCAAGTGATATTAGGATGGGGATCACATGTCCTCATTCATGTCATATTTTGTGTACCAAACCAATTAAAAAGCTCCTATTAGAATATATGATATTATCTTAGAATATATTAAGAGAATATCTTATATTATGATCATGTTGTATATTTGTTTACTGTATGTTAGAAGATCTTTTAGGATACAAATTATTTTATTATGATTTGTTTGTTATTTAATTAGAAATAAGATATTAGTATAAATATGAGTTAGTTCTAAGTCTTTCAGAATATCAAATAAACACGATATCATTATTTATACTACTATACAATCTACTATTTTGAGCATTTTATTTTCTCCTTCTATACCTCAACCCTATAATTTCAACAGCTCCATTCAACTAAAAAGAAAAATAACAAAATCATAAATTAATATTTTAATATTATTTTGTGAAGTTTGATTGGTTATGAACATAAGAAAGAAATTTTTTGAAAGAGACAGAACATCTGAGGGCTACTAGTCTACTATACTGCCACCTTCTTTATTCACCATCACTGCCTCCACACACTGTTTCTGATAGCAGCCCAATCACCATGGAAGGTATTGCAGACACATCAAGGACCAAAAGGATCATGCAAAGGTCCAATTGGCTTGCAGACTATGTGGAAGGCATTTTAATTTTAATTTATGCTATTTTAATATTTCAATAACACCTATGGCCTCAACTATTAAAAACCCAAAGCTAATAGTGGTTAATCTAATTTCTGTGGGGAGGGAATTTATTTAATTTAAGATTAAGTTTTTTAAATTTACTTCACATATTAGCCATCAATTCTAGGTAAATTAAATTCTTTGAATAAGTGAGTAGATCTAAACCATTGAATTTATCTAAAATTGATGGCTAAGATGTGTAGTAAGTTTAAAAAATTTACTCTCTTAATAAATTAACCCCTCCTCGTTTATATGATACTATTATACAGAGTGTGTTATTACAATTGTTGATTGTGGCTTAGGTAAAATCAGTATTTTAAATTGAGGTTGCAGTGATTGTGGTTATTGTGATTGCGGTCATTCTGGCCATTGCGATGTGAATTGTGGCTATTGTGGTGTGAATTATTTTGCTATTAAAATAATATTTTTGAATCCGATAGGCCTGATGCAGTCTGATATGATCCAATGTGGCTTCATACAGTCCAAATGCGGTGCAATGTTATTGCGTTGCAACCCAATACAATCATATCATTGTGATTCGGAATTACACTACAATTGCAGTGTAATGTAGTTGCAGTGTTCACCGCAACCATAATATTACTGCGATTCACAATTTAAATCAGTAGGTAAAACCTTATCCTGTTTGAATTTTTGATCTCACAACTTAACTTGGCTTGCGGATGCATTCTATGTCCACTGTGATAAATCACTAGTGTGCTATGATGCATAGAATTGATAAAACTGTGAGAGTATTAAATATTCATTCTCTTCCCAATCTTTACAAAGTAAAAAGTGAAATCGATTTCATTATTCAAGTCGGATATGTATTTATATCATTACATGAATACTTAATAAATATGGTATACGAAATATATATAATATACATGATTTTCTTTTATAAAACATAATACAATATATAACAGTTGATCCCAATTTCTAAAATAATAATTAGAGGTAATAAAATTATTAACAATACATAATTCATTCAAATCCAAGAAAATTAAGTTCATCCAAAATTATCTATTAAAGTTGATGAATTTTAATAGATATAATCCAATTGATAATTTTAATAATGAATGAATTCAAATTCATCAATTATATTCATAGATATATTCATTTACATGAGTATTCAATCTACCAAAAAAACAAACATTTAAGAATGATATTTTTTGCTTTTCAATTTCATTGAATATGTCAACTCTAACTTTCTCGTATGTATTTCTCACTCTCACTTTGATTTTTAATAACTTAAATTATCATATTAGTCTATATTTCTAGTAACACTTGTTCAGATGATAGTGAGATTAATAATATTAGGAGTTCTGATTAATATTAAAAGTTTGTTCATACATACATAATATATATATATATATATAAATATAAATATGTTTTAAAAATTTTACACCCAAAATTTTAAACAGTATAAATATCTTTCTAATAGTTCAAAATAATTTTTTTCAAAAAATGTTTCTTAAAACAATTAAAAAATATTTTATTGAAATATTGATTTTTGAAAGGATGATTTTCTTCAAAAATAATTTTAGTTCTAATTTAAAAATAAATTAAAATGGATTGTGTATTCATTCATCAAATCCATTAAAATGGATTTATGAATGGACTGAAATTCACTCATTAAATTTGAATATTAATAAATTGTATAATTTAAAATATGACTTAATTTATATGAATTTATGGATATCTTTCTATTAATTAGGATCAAATCCATTCAATTTAATCAACACTTATAACAATAAGGCACTTTTAAAAAATAACTAAGTATTAATCTCATTAACTATAACCGATTACATAAATCAAATATTTAACATTTATTATATATCATCTTAATTAACATTAGATACTCCATTATTAGAGAATAAATATTAAAAATTTAAATTAGAATTAATTAATGGACACATTACCAGCCGAACTGTACACCAACTCTGATATCAAATCATTTATAAGAAATTTAACTTACTAATGAATTGACCAATTGATTGCATACACTTTAATCTAACTTTGATAGGTTGAATCGTCAAAATTGGAAAATTTGATTCCAAAATATATGCAAGACCAAACTTCTTTTACTCTCTTGCCACTGTATAGCTTATTCTATTCATGGTTCAAACATGTTGAAATTTACCTTAAACATGTTCCGTTTAATAATAATAGATTGGGTTTAACATATTTACCTATTTAAAAGAAATTTACGACCAGTCAATAAATCTTCTTTAAATACCCTAATATGTTTGCTTTTGAATACGTTTATTTAAATATGTTGGCTTGTAATGTTTAATAAGCTTTTTTTGAAGGTCTAAAACCTGTTCAGTAAAGTTAAATAGATTTTTTAAAAGTCTTAGTCTAACTTGTTTATGAAAATAGTATAGTCTGGCCTATTATAGATCAGGTACAAGGCCTTTCTTGCACGCGACATAGCATGTTTTCAGCCCTAGTTGTGACTGTTATAAGATTAATGACAGAATTACTTAAAGATAAATACTATCATCAAACAACTAATATTATTCATATCAAATCACTAAGGAGGAACAATGTGGAAGTGTACTCGAATAATTTCATAAATAATATTCCATCAAGCATGCCATATAACTAGATGAACCACCTGATGGAGGTCACTTTTCCTTAAGGGCTTAATGATCTTTACATTATTTTTGCATTAAATAAGTGGGGGTCTTATGTCCCACCATTATTTTAAGTTATGTTTTATTTTACTTGGACAATAAGTTTAGTTTATGTTTTAAGCTTTATAGCCCATTATTGGCCTTGTGTCATGTAACCTATAATTGCCATATGAAGAAAGAGCTATGGAGATGTCTTGACCAGCCTAAGCCAAGTGTGACCAACCAAGTTGTGAAGGAACATATCCTATTTCAACCGTGTGGGTGACTAGGATAGGCATGGACACGTTGAAGTTCTTATTAATGCTTTCCAAATTCGGACCAGGTGCAAACATGTGCTATAATGGCTTATTTAAGACTTTCCAAACTCGGCCCGCAAGGAGTTAAGGCCACATTGATGACTCAATTCAAATTCGAACCAAGTATAAACATGTGCTACAATGGACGAATTAAGACTTTCCAAACTCGACCAGCAAGAAGTTAACACAACCTTGATGACTCAATTCAAACATGTGTCCAAAGCCTTGAAGAGGTGAATTAATAATTTCCAAATTCGGCTACCTATTGAAACTTACCATGAACCAGCCACACAACACTTGGAGAATCTTCCAGCCAACTTTAAATTCGAATTGACACATTCAACACACATTCAAGACTGCCTTATTGGGAAAACACGTGGAAAATCAACTAACCAGCCTCAAGTTCAAATTAGCACATTCAAGACACACTTAAGACTTGCCTTATTGGGAAAACACGTGGAACATCAACCAGCCAGCCTCAAATTCAAATTGGCACATTCAAGACACACTTAAGACTTGCCTTATTGGGAAAACACGTGGAACATCAACCAGCCAGCCTCAAATTCAAATTGGCACATTCAAGACACACTTAAGACTTGCCTTATTGGGAAAACACGTGGAAAATCAACTAGTCAGCCTCAAGTTCATATTAGCACATTCAAGACACACTTAAGACTTGCCTTATTGGGAAACACGTGGAAAATCAACCAGTCAGCCTCAAATTCAAATTGGCACTTTCAAGACACACTTAAGACTTGTCTTATTGGGAAAATACGTGGAAAGCCAATCAGCCAACCTCAAATTCAAATTGGCACATTCAAGACACACTTAAGTCTTGCCTTATTGGGAATGGCCATGTTAAACACATAATCATTTAGCCATATGGTTGTTCCAATTTACTTGCACCATAATAAATGTGATAATTCGAATTTGAAATCTTTGTAAAGTAGAAAAGTCAATAGGCTGACTAGGTGCCAACCATGGCTTTAGTTCATGCATTAATGCCTCATGGGAGCCTTAGGCCAGCCCACACTATATATACTCTACGTATGAACTTGAATAAGATAGATTTGAATTTTAAGAGAAAAACACTTTGTTGTTTTAGTTGAGTTTTGCTCCTACCCTTTTAACTTATCAAGCTTTCTTGTGGCGTTTTGGCTTATCACCATTCATTGGTGTGGTGCCTCCAATCATCCTCATCAACATCCTTGTTGTGGTGGATTTCCTAGACTTATCAAGCTTTGTCTTGTGGTGATTCTGGCTTATCACCTTCATTGGTGTGGTGCTTACTATCATCCTCATCAACATCCTTGTTGTGATGGATTTCACTTGGTTTATCAAGCTACAAGCTTGTGGCACCTTCTCCTCAAGTCTTCTTCCATTTTCTTTTATCCAACTACCACCCCAGCCTCATTCATAACCTACCATACACGGTCAAACAGCCACCAAACACTCATTCACACCATTGCATTCATCCTACACTTATAACCCCACTCCTCACAAAATCGAGAACAACAACCCCATAACCCATTGTCTCACCCAACCATAAACCAAAACATCCATTTAAACCAAAAAATACCAAAAATAGCACCAAAACCCGAATTCTCATTTACCTAGTACAATTCCGCACTAAATTTTTGAGTTTCAAGCAAAACGATCGCAAAGAACACCAACCCCCACAAGGAGGTTGCCGTCACTTAGCCTAACTTGTTTATGAAAATAGCATAGTCTGACCTATTATAGATCAGGTACAAGGCCTTTCTTGCACGCGACATAGCATGTTTCCAGTCCTAGTTGTGACTGTTATAAGATTAATGACAGAATTACTTAAAGATAAATACTATCATCAAACAACTAATATTATTCATGTCAAATCACTAAGGAGGAACAATGTGAAAGTGTACTCGAATAATTTCATAAATAATATGATGAATGATCTTGCATGTCTTTGTTGTACCAAAATTCATGTTAACAGTCGCAAATTTGTAGATTTTTTGGTCTTTGTAAAGTCTTTATGAACATTTGCTCGTGATGAAAATAGAAGTCTATGTGAATGCAAGCATGCAAGAAAATGATTTTGATGAAGACAAATCTTAAAGCTTAAAGACACTATGAACAAGGACAAATCAACTACAACAACATGAAGACTCAAATTCAAGCTTCAAGAAAGGATCAACAAGACTGGAGTAATTTTATTTTAGGCTCTAAGATGTTTTGAACGGTTATAGTCTAAATTAGGTGACCTTTATGATAAATCTCACATATTAGAGTATGAACATAATGCATATGAGATTTTTCTACATAATATGATTTAGGTGCATTTAGCATACATACATGATTTTGATGCATTAATACTTCTATTATTTTCAAAATCATGCATCATGCATTAATTACTCATGTTAGAGGTTAATGGAAAATAACTAAGTCTTTTCAGAAAATTGTTAATTAGTAAAAGACATTGGTTAATCGATTAAGTCTCTTTAAATTGGAAACTTGTTAATCGATTAGGAACATGGTTAATCAATTAAATTAGTTTATATTTTGGAATCTTGGACATTTTAAAGAAACGTTAATCGATTAAGTAGTTAATTAATCGATTATCTCCAACATAAAACAGTTCGAAACTGGATGGTATTTCACCATCTTTTCCCATAGACAAATGCAAGAAGTCATACACGAACTTGATGCAAGATTGATACACGGATTTTCAAGAGTGATTTTATGAAAAGAGTGATAGAAACTTTCATGTGAATAGAGAGAGTTTTGTGAATTTTTGAAAGAGGTTATTTTCAAACATTGAATGTTTTCAAAGATTTTCATTTTGTGTCTCATAATCATTCATATTCATCTCTGAAATGATGAGATTTATCAAAGTGTAGTTTGTTCTGAATTTTAGTGTATGATTAGAACATCATAGGTGTAAGGAACTTTTTATTTGTTTTATCGGTTGATTTTTAAATTTGTCTCTTTCGGGTTTGAGATTTCACATTTTAGGAAGAGAGAAATTTAAGAGAAAGATGGGATGTGGGCAATATCCAATAAGAGGTCTCTTTGGGTATACTTGGTTAGAAGTTGTGTGGATCCATTAGAAGCTAGGTCCAACAGAACTCTCGGTGGAAGAAGTGTTTGTATACATATTTTATTTATTCTTTGTAAAGCAAATATTCCCAGATCAAAAGAGGATGACCAAATGTAGATTGCAGTGGATTGGAAATCGAACTAGGATAAATTGACTGTGTTATCTTCTCTTTTTCCTTATACTTTTACTTACATAAAATAATCGTATTTTTTCTATATTTGATTACATTCATATAGAGATCATTGCATTAGTGAATCTACTTGATTAATCACTTTCATTAATCTGTTTAAGTGCATATTAGACCAGATTAATCACTGTTTTCTTGTTGCATCAAGAACAACAAGATTTTCAAGAAATCCAGTAGGTTAATCGATTAAGCCTTATGTTAATTGATTAACTCAAGTTTTCTATTACTTGAACCACCTATTCACCCCCTATTGCCGAAGTTAGAGCCCTTGTTAACTAACATGTGATATTAGCTCTAGTTCGGATAAGTGCTACCATAATCGCTATATTCGTGAGATCTTAGGGAGATATATACAATGAGCTCCACAAATTCATTCGTAGGTGAAGGGTCCTCTATTAATTGTTATCTCGTGTTTAGTGGAGAGGGCTATGCCTACTGGGAAGTTAGAACGAAGATTTTTATATAGGCCATATACACAGATATATGGGATGTCGTACAAAATGGACCTCATATTGTACTACACTTAGTGTTAGGGAAACTAAAGAAAAATCTAAGTTTTTATGGACTGATGAGAGAAGAAAAATGCAACACAATTGAAAGCTGAAACATCATCATTTCAACACTCTCTTATGATGAATTATTTAGAGTTTCACAATATAAAAGTATCAAAGAAGAATGAGATACTTTACAAGTAACCCATGAGGGAATTAATGAAGTTAAATGTGCTAGGTTAAATGCTTTAACTCTTGAATATGATTTATTAATGTGTTTCCTAATGAACCAATAAATTACATGTAAAAACGATTTACTCATATTGTTAATCATCTTGTTGCATTAGATAAAGTGTTTGCTAAAGGTGACCATACTCACAAGGTTTTGAGATGTATTGATAGGGTTTGGAAAACAAAGGTGAAACTGTTGGGGAATCCAAAGACTTGGATCAAATGTCACTTGCAACACTTTTCAGAAAGCTACAAGAACATGAGATGGAGCTTAGACGCTTAACACTTCACGAAGAATCGAACAAGAAAAAAAAAGGAATTTCCCTCAAGGCGACAACTTCAAAAGTAAGAACTCAAGAAGAGAAATCACATGATAAAGATATTGGTTCTTCCGATATAGATGAAACTATGGCACTCCTTGTAAATAAATTCAGCAAGTTCTTCAAGAAGAAAGGAGCGTTTAGAAAGTTTCAATGAAAAGATTCAAGAGGCTCAACCAATAAGGGCAAGAACTCAAGATAAAATCACTTGCCATGAGTGCGGGAAGAAGACAAATGAAGTTTTCATGTCCTATTTATCTCAAGAAGGTTGAGAATGAGAAGAAAGATTCAATAGACATCACGACAAAGAAAGCCTACATAATATGGGGTGTACCTGAAGATGAAGTCACTTCAGGCACTTCGGACGATGAAGAATCGGCCAAACTATGCCTAATGATGCAAAAAATGATTCTTGCGAGAATAGTGAGCGAGGAAACTCTAGTGAGGTAAGTAGCTCCGATTCTGATTATGATCCCCTCATATATGACATATTATATGGTGCATATGTAGAAATGCATGAAGAACTTAAAAAGTTAACAAAGTTCAATGCAGATAGGAAAATGTTAATTTTAGTGCATGAAAATTAAATTCTTGAAATGCATAAATTTATTGAAGAACTTCAACTTGAAAATGAAACCTTAGGTCTTATCTATACTAATTCTACATGTGATTGTGCTTCAAAAATTACTATGACACTCTCTTGTGAAAAATGTCCAACCTTGGAAAAAGAGAATGCATGCTTAAAAGAAACCATTGCTAATTTTCTCTAAGGGTAGTCATAAATTGGGCAACTTACTTGCATCACCTACTTGTTTCTTTTATGGTCATACTACTAATACTTGTTGTAAGAACCCAATTTCTACCCTTGAAAATTTTTCCTTATTCTATTCCTCTTACATACATTTCCTTATTATCTCAATTTAATAACTCTAATAACATTCTCCTAATTACTCAATTTTGATCAGACTCTTGACAAAAATCATAATTCATATAAATCATTCCTGGTAACCCGCGCATACAACCAGCTATGAAATTCCCAAAATACCCATAGCTACTAATATCCAGAGTTATATCAATCAGGAGTTACAATTATCCAAATATCAAATAATTAGTTACAATCCAAAAAGCAAAATAGAGAAAGTCTAGATTCAAGCTCCTAGGCGTCGAACCGAGCATCCTCAACACATCCATCACCTGCAATGTGATTATCGATAACAGATACACGAAACATACAAGGGAGTAAGTCATTAATTTAAGAGTGATCGTCATATGATAATCCACATTTTAAAACACAATTTGATAATGAAGTTAAGACCTAATTCATAATTACATACACATATTCGTTCATAACCTTCATTCCCTATCTCCGTGATATCCATATTCATATTATAGTACATATACATCCCATAATATACATGTTCTATAGTATGCATATCTATACTTTTCATTTTTGTCCATTTTCACCTTATAGTACATATACATCCCATAATATACATGTTCTATAATGTGCATATCTATTCTCTTTACTTCTATCCATATTCCATCTGTGTACACCACACGGATAATACAATACCACAAAGGGTAAATCTACATCACAAAAGTGATCC